TGTGTCCCCAGCACAACTATAATCTTACTTGAATTTCATGCCATGTAATCGCTTGTTGCTGTGATGGGCCTCCATTTGGTTGTTTGTAGTATGGCTGGTTGTGAAGATGTTGGTACTTTTATTCGCTGATTATACTAATCAATGTACTTTGTTTATTTGTTTTTAGCTGTGAAAATGCCCTCCAAATCAGTCAGTACATTTAAAATCCCAGAAATTCACTTTCCTCTGATGTTCCAGTGTGTTCACTCCTACTATACAGACTTCTTCAACCATCTCAGCAAAGCTATAAATACCTTACCACCTGATAACTCAGCATTGCTGGCAAGGTACTTCTACCTCCGGGGACTTATTAGTTTGATGCAAGGGAAACTACTAAATGCACTTTCTGACTTTCAGAACCTAGATAAAACAGACTTAAGAATTTTCCCTACTGATCTGGTAAGAAAAATAGTTGAAACCATGCCTCCTTCGGAGCGTTTGCAAGCAGACCGCAAACCTGAGCTGAAGAAGCTGATAAGTCGAGTGATGGAAAAACAAAGAGAAGTTATGAAAATAGATGACCATGTAAAAAATTTCGAATTGCCAAAAACACACATGCAACTGGATGACTTTGTGAAGCGAATCCAGGAGTCTGGGATTGTCAAAGATATAGACACTATACACCGGTTATTTGATGCCTTAACAGTAGGTGAGTAAAATACACATTTTTAGTGACTATATACATTGGTGCAATGACCATTTGAAACCATTTTTTATGACCTAAAATAAAATTTTTGTCTCCTGTTGTTTTTAATTATTATTCAACATTTTCTGGGCCTTTAAAAACACAATATGTGAGCTTTATGGACAATTTTATTTCATTAGGATAATTATGGAGAATAGATTTAATGTATACAAGAACATCTATACTTGCATCCACAATAAAGACAAGGAATTTACTTATATTTGGGCATGCAATTTACAATTTTTCAGGCTGTGTAGGTGAGGTAGTTTTGTGATCTGATGGTGTGCAGTTCTGCTTTGGCTCAGATGATGAGTAAAAAGTGAATATAAGACTGTCCTAGTTGCTAATGGAAAACACCTCTGTGTTGTAAAACTGTTAGGTAACATGGCAAGGTGGTGGTCTGTTAAAAATAAACTAACCAAATCCAGAATTCAAATAGCAACAGTTAAATTTTCCTCTTGGATGGTCATCATAGCAAAAGGAGAGGTTATCTTTATATTGGAGAGAACTATTCTCTCCTGAATGAGATCTGAATCTCGTGATTGATTTCTAAAAATACAGTTTGAGGCTGCTTTTATAAAATACTATTCACTTTTCTTTCTGTGCCTGTTACTCTGGCCACAAATGATTAAACATTGATCAAAATAGCAAGACTTTCTGAAGCCAGAGGTAGCATACATCTTGCAAGAATTTGTGTTTGTTTGAGATTCTGCTGCCCAAACACTTGAATCCTTAGAATAATTAATTTCTTAGAATACCTTTTGCTGAAGTCTTTAACTGTTATAACTTTAGCTTTTATCCCAGGTAGGCAAGTTTGTGATATAGTAGCATTCAGTGGAAAAAAGAACTGGAAGTACAAATCCTTTCCCATTGACATGGATTTTTGGCATGAATTTGAAAAAGCAAGCCTGGCCCAGTGTTTGCTTCCTCTTTCTGTACAATAGGGTGGAAGGAGGGAGGATGCCAGTTGCGTGGGACCTGTGGCCTTGGCTGACTGCCATGTCTCTACCTCAAGAGAAGAATTTTGTCCCTTAACTGTTTTCCAGGCCTTTTTTTAATAGCTTTTTTACCTTGCTTACCCTGTTATGCAGTTAGAGGCACAATTAGAAAGTTAGTATATTTTAAAGCTATCTTTCTGTGCAAATCTGTATAATCATTTCTCACAGTAAAAAAAAAAAAAAATCAAAATTTTCTAGGACATCAGAAGCAAATCGATCCTGAAACATTCAGAGATTTCTACAACTACTGGAAAGAAACTGAAGCAGAAGCTCAAGAGGTGAATCTGCCACCAACAGTAATAGAGCATCTAGATAAAAATGAATGTGTCTACAAGTTATCCTGCTCAGTTAAAACTAACTATGGTGTAGGAAAAATAGCTCTGACCCAAAAGCGCTTGTTCCTTTTGACTGAAGGAGGACACCCTGGCTATGTCCAGATTGCTGCTTTCAGGGATATAGAGGTGAGCATCAAGTAACTTCTTGTTCTCTTGCATGCCTAAGGATGTAGGGCATGTTCCATTCTGCTAAGAGATCTGTCTCTCAACTTAGAGTTTCAGTCAGGAGTGTGGAAAACACCTCTGAAGTCAGCAACTTCTTTGCTGAAAGGGTTCTCAGGCATTGGAAGGGGTTGCCCAGGGCAGTGGTGGAGTCCCCATCCCTGGAGGGATTGAAGAGTCGTGTAGACACAGTGCTGAGGGACGTGGGTTAGTGAGGGACTTGTCAGTGTTGGGTTAATGACTGGACTGGATGATCTTAAAGGGCTTCTCCAGTCGAGGGAATTCTGTGATTCTGTGAAACTTACATTTTTGTAAAACCATCTCTGCTTAACGTTGTGCATGGACAATTGAAATCATTAACTGTGGCTATAAATAGAGAAAGTTGCCCTGTAGAATGAGTGCTGCACCTTACCTGTGATTGCACACCGTTATCTTCCTTGCTTTCTTTGTTTTCTTACATTTCCAGGATGTTAAGAGCACGACTGTAGCTTTCCTTCTTTTGAGAATACCTACTCTGAGGATTAAAACATTATCTAGAAAAGAAGTCTTTGAAGCTAACCTTAAAACCGAGTGTGATCTCTGGTACCTGATAGTGAAGGAAATGTGGGCTGGAAAGAAAATGGCAGATGATCACAAGGTGGGAATTTCTAACCAAATAAGTCGATAAATAAATAAGTAAATAAATTGGGACTCGATGATCCTTGTGGGTCCCTTCCCACAAAGTTCTGTTATTCTAAGTATGATGTATGTGCTTTCTGTCTCTGTTCTAAATAATTCATGCATCAATCTTAGAATTTCTAGGTTTCAGCAAACAGTATCTAAGTGATAAACTTTTGTTTTTGCTGTTACTTCTAAATATAATACTTCTAGAATAATACAAAAAATAAAAAAAGGCAGATTACATTTAAAAAACACAGGATTTTTTTTTTCATCTGTTGTCATGGAACTTTTAATTTATTCACTAGTTCTGTGAGATAGTTTCTGAAAGTTCACAACATGAGAATAGTGATCCTAACTAACAGAAAATTTTCCCCACCTTGCTTCGAAACTGTAATGTGTAGAAAGAGTTTTGCCATGCTAGAACCCTGGTGGCTGTAGGTCCTTTCAATGAATAGAGCAAGATGTATTCTTCTGCCAGAGAAACCTTGAGAAACAGGATCATACAAGCAGGGTTTCCATTTAAACTACATAATCTTTCATGACTGCTGAATTTAATAGTGAAAACGTAGCTTGGTGGTTCTTCAGGAAGGATTTGAATCATTTTAGCCAAGAAGAAACATAATGTGTACTTCCTTCCCATGAAGAAAGAGCCAGCCTGAAAATGGGTATCCATCCTACATCTGCTGTATTTTTTCCATCAGTGCCATTCATGTGGTTTCATTTGCACATCTTGTATCAAGATTGTGCCAGATCTGAAATACTTCTTTCAGTTTAATGAATTAATGCTGGTTCCTGACTCCCTGCTCCATGACCTTGCTTGGGAGCAGAACATGTGATGTGGGAGTGGGGTTTGACTACAAGTAGCATGAATTATGCTGCAGGGCAGCAGCTGGGTAGTGCTTGTGCTAAGCATGATGTGCTGTGATTGTCCAACACGGAGACTTGTAAGAATAATGAGCAAGCAATAAACTACAGTAAGGCTTTTGTCTTTAGGATCCTCAGTATATTCAACAAGCCCTGACAAATGTCCTCCTGATGGATGCTGTGGTTGGTTCTCTGCAGTCCTCCAAAACCATATATGCAGCTTCTAAACTCTCTTATTTTGACAGGATGAAAAATGAAGGTCAGTCACATAGCAATGCTACAAAGCTTGCTGTTGTTGCATCATCTATCTTGCCTCTTTCTGTTTATATTCCGGTTTTCAAACTGATTATACGTAGAAATATAAAAAGATGTTAGTCTGACAGCGCTTTCACAGAGGTATTTGGTTAAATAGTATTAATACAAAGCTTAGGATGGGCTGTTTTTTTTCTCTTCTGTGCATTAGAACCTTAGTTGGTATATCTGCCCCCATGTTGGCTGCTGTGTTTTGGTTGTTTAGAGTGCTTGGGTGTTTCATGCATGCTTCTGCCACTAGAATTCATACACACAGTGTTTGGGCTCTCCTAGTCAGCTAAGGCTAGGGGGAAAGAAAAGTGAGACAGGTGAATGAATGGTGCAGATTTCTTATTTCATAAGAATTATAGATCTATTTCAGGCTTAAGTGTGTACTTCATAACCTTTTAAAAATCTCTTTTAGTGCCTATGATGGTCCCCAAAACAACTTCAGAGACATTAAAGCATAAGATCAACCCCTCAGCTGGTGAGACATTTCCACAGGCAATAGATGTCTTGCTTTATACACCAGGTAAGGTGATGTATTGCTTTCTTTATGTTAGCCCAGCTTCAATTAGCCTATAAAACATGTTATCTTGTAACACCTGGTATTATGACTGCCTGATTTTGTTCAGTCTGACATGCTTTGGTTGTGTGTTGAATACTAAACCAGAAAATCATTAAAAAAGAACAGTAATATTGCATATTAAAATACTCCAAGGCTTAACTTTCACAGTCTTAATTTGTCTTCCTCTGTGTATATGCCTTATAATAGACTTCAATTATGTGTTAATATGCAGATTTCCCATTAAGACTCGTGCTTCATTTATTGAGCAGGGTGGATGAATGATGCTCCACCACTGATCTATATTCATTGGGGGTTTTTTTATTTTTCAGTAGAGTCACATGAGGGTGTTTGGTTGAACCACAGTGCAAGGAATAGTGTACCACCTCTTGAAATCCCAGCCAGACCTCTATGCCCATGGCTCTCACTGTATAAGATGTGATCTAATGTACTTACACTGCGTGTAATTTAAGTCCATCCCTGAAGGAAGCATTATCAATTTCCTTGTGAGCTTTTCTGTGATACTTGGCACATTTATGTCTAATTCAAAAAGCATTGGAGGAGGGAAAAAAAAAGGAAAAAAGAAAAGTTAAGGACTGTGTGCAATGGGCATGAATTTAGCTACTAGATATATTAATTTTGGAAGTTCCTAACTCTTAATTTCATAACCTTACTAGTCTTCTGATGTAAGTTCACGTGTAATTCCTAGTATTTGGATAATTTGAGACAAAAAGAGAAAAACAGTGGAATTCCAAAGTTAAGAAAGTGGGCAATGCTGGGTGGGTGGGTGGTGGTGGTGGTGGTGGGTTCGGTGGAGCTTTTCTGTCTTTGAAGTATGAAGCTTCTAAGTGGAGTCTAATGCTGTGGCAGCTAAAACGAGTGGATTTCTTAGTTGTATTTCACAGGATTTAAAAACCTTCCTGCAATCCCAGTTAGCTGAGTACTTAATCATCAATGAAAAAGATTATCTTTGCTCTGCATAACTTTGAAGTATAAGATTAAACCATCAGGTGAGCTCAACAAATAGATGAGTACAAATTCATTGTGGAATCTGTGACGCACATTAACAACTGGTGATGTAAATTCCAGAACACAGATGCATTTCATTAGGAAGCTGCTCTGCCTAATAATGATTTTCCCATGCGTCTCCAAAAGGGGTTTGTTTTTTTTTTTTACCTCTCTCATCTTCTCTGCTTCATTTCTAGGGCATCTTGACCCTTCAGAAAGACCTGGCAACGCTCATCCAAAACTATGGTGTGCTTTAAATGAAGGGAAAGTGGTGGTCTTTGATGCATCTACCTGGTCTATTCAACAACACTGTTTCAGAATGGGCCACTCTAAACTGGTAAGACTGGCACACAGATCACAATTGCTGCTTAAGCTTGGTGGGGTTTTTTTTGGTGTAGCCTGTATGAGCCCAGACCACTGGATTAGTTTAAGGAATGCTGTACTGTTGTTTCTTAAAAGTTATAGAAAGGCACTTAAGTTGTTGGCGCTTCAGTTAACTTGGAGAAATGGAGATTTTTGAGAAAAATTGAGAGAAAATGGATTCATAACAAAACAAGTCAACTGGTAGGAGGTGATGGATTGGATATCATGAGGGTTTGCTGGCCTAATGGCATAGCTTCTTGGGGCTGGAAGGCAGGTATGAAACAGGTGAGGAGGAAGAATAGTGGAGAGAACCAATATAAAGAGACGATGAGACCTGGATAGTGGGATGGAGCACACCCTCAGCACGTTTGCTGGTGACACCAAGCTGAGGGGTGCAGTTGATACAATAGATGGAAGAAATGCTGTTCAGAGGGACCTGGACAGGCTCGAAAAGTGGGCCCATGAGAACCTGATGAAGTTCAACAAGGCCAGGGTTGTGCACTTGGGTGAGGGCAATCCCAGGTATGTATACAGACTGGGAGAAGAACTCATTGGGAGCAGCCCTGCTGAGAAGGACTTGGGAGTCCTGGTGGACGAGAAGCTTGACATGAGCCAGCAGTGTGTGACTGCAGCCCAGAAGACCAACTGTATCCTGGGCTACATCAAAAGAGGGGTGGCCAGCATGGCGAGGGAGGGGATTGTCCCTCTCTACTCTGCCCTTGTGAGGCCCCATCTGGAGTATTGCGTCCAGACCTGGAACCCTCAACACAAGAAAGATGTTGAGCTGTTGAAGAGAGGAGGAGAGCCAGGAAGATGATCAGAGGGCTGGAGCTCCTCCCTTCTGAAGAAAGGTTGAGGGAGGTGGACTTGTTCAGCTTGGAGAAGAGAAGGCTCCAGGGAGGCCTCATTTCAGCCTTCTAGTACCTGAAGGGAGCTTAGAAACAGGAGGTGGAGTGACTTTTTACATGGGCAGATAGTGATAGGACAAGGGGAGATGGTTTTAAACTAAGAGAGGGGAGATTTAGATATTAGGAGGAAATTTTTCACCCAGAGAGTGGTGAGGCACTGGAACAGGTTGCCCAGGGAAACTGTAGATGCCCCATCCCTGGAGGCATTCAAGGCCAAGTTGGCTGAGGCCCTGGGCAGCCTGATCTAGTGGTTGGCAACCCTGTCCACAGAAGGGGAGTCAGCACTAGATGATCTTTTAAGGTCCTTTCTGATCCAAACTATTCTGTGAGATTCTGTGAGGAGACAAGCCCTCAGAATAGATGAAAAGTCCCCTGTGCTGAAGAACTGGAAATTGGGGAAAGGTGTAAGGAAATGAGGTGGGTGATGTTGAGTGATAGCGCTCTAAAAGGAGATGGCTCAACCAGCAGGTTAAAGGGAGTTGCTTGTAAAAGATCAGCTGAAAAGAGTAACTCCCTCAGTGAAAGGGGAAGCTGAACCAGAGCTGCAGACTGAGTGAAAAACATGGAGTAGAAAGAACACACAGGAAAAAAGAATGGGTAGGTCACTTGTGTGAAAGCTGAGGAACATCACTGTGGATGAGTGTGGAAGTGGTAAAGCTGTTGGTGAAGGGCTGGGTGGGGGGAAGATGGAAATCCAGGAGAAGAGTTGGATACTGCCCTATTCTAGAGAAGAGAAAGAAAAGAGGAGGAAAGTTCGGCACTGATGGGACTCAGTAGGGAGAGAAATTAAGAGCTTCTAAATGGGGGAAGGATGTTCCAGAGACAGTAGAGAAGATGACAGTATTTACTTAGACACCACTTCTAACTGAAGTGGGAAGTATGTTTCTATCAGATGAGTTGGATGGCTTCAAATCCAGAAGGGAGAAAAACACTAATCTCTGTTTTCCCCTGATGCCCTTTGTAATTTTTACTTTGTTTGGGTCAGGAAACCCAGCTTTGAGTCTCTTACCAAGATACATTATCAGTCCTGTTTACTGAAGGATGAACTCAGCAAAGAGATCTGTCCTCTCTCACTATTTATAGAGCAGAGCAAAGGATAGGAGCTGAGACTTGATCTCTAACTATAATCAACAGAAAACTGTAGCATCTTACTATAGCCTTTTCCCATGATACATTAAAGAGTGATTTTTCCTCTGGATTTAATTTAATCCTGCTTTTTCTCTCCAGACTTGTATGATAATGGTAGAACAAAGTCAAGTGTGGATTGGTTCTCAAGACTCCATTATTTATATAATCAACACCCACAGTATGTCCTGTAATAAGCAACTAAATGATCATCGTTCTGATGTTACAGACATCATTGTGGAGAAGAAGAATGGAATACCCAGGTATATCTGATTATAATGTTTTCTTCTTGAAAATACATTTATAAACAAATGGGAAGGACATCTGTACCACCGGA